AGATGAAACAGTGGCATGCATCGATTCCATTTGCCTCATGGTGAAAATCTGGTCAGGGTGGGCTTACCAGGTATAGAGAAATAATAATAAGATCATGTCAGTTGCCTTGGCAGCGGGTTAGTTTATCACGCAATGCGATCGATCGGACCTTATACTCGATATTTATAAGGCTTACGGGGTGCAATCACTATTATAACCTCATCATAGGGGGGTAAAGGGACGTTTGTGCAATCCTCATCGATTTGGGTTTCGGGTTCACCATCTCGGATTCTTGGGATTTCATTGCCATTTAGTTTGCTGAGGAAGTGTTGGCTGCAAACTTCAAGTATGCGCTGGAATAATGTCACCATATTATTTCTTTGATTCCTACAGAAGTATGTTCCGGTCTTCAAATCTACTATGAGTCGCCGCATCGTTTCAAAGAATTTTCGAACAGCTCTTAGTGGTTTTAGTCGAGTGTAACGTTGCATGGTTGGCATCTTCTGCCAGATAATTCTAAACCGTAAAAATAATTTCAAATTAAGATAATTATAAATCTGCAAAAAGGCACCTACTATGAACTGAACTTCAAGTAAAGTGAACAATAAATATATTTTTATCAATATTTTGATCCCTGGTTCCAGAGATAGGAGTAGTTTTTCTGTTTAACTAAGCAAAAAGCCACCTATGTAATCATATTTAAATACTTATATGAGTTTTCCAAATATGTCATTCCTTGATTCATTTTCCGAAAAAAAAGTTCTTATAAACCTTTCAAGGAACCATAGAGCAAATCTGTTAAAATTTGATGTCAATTGGTCTTTAACTTTTCGATTTGTGTCTTTAGAAAAGGACATACGATTATTATATATGTCATCGGGAACTGGAAAATTCTCGCAACTTGGAGCATCGCACTATCATTAAATTACTTGCAAAAGATGAGCTCGGCTGTTACAACAAGGAAGAGAGACTTGTGGAGATGACTACCGCGCGGGGCGACCAGTGACTGCTGTGACCGAAGAAAATGTTCAGAGAGTCGAAAAATTAATACTAGTTGATCGAAGAATTAAAGTTTGGCAGATAGCAGATGGATTACAGATTAGCAAAAAGCGAGCTGGAGAGATTTTGTGTGAAAATTTGAATAGGAAAATAATTAGTTCGCCTTGGGTACCGCGAATGCTCACCTCGCTCGACAAGCAAGGTCGATAGGTAAATTTTAAGGAATTTTCGGAGTTGTGCCAAGTTGATTTGGATGAAATTTTTAAACGCATTGTAACAGTTAGATTCGTTAGTATGATTCTGAGTCTAAACAGGAGTCGATGCAGATGCAAATACAAAGCGGAAAACTTAGCGTCGAAGATTATGGCTACCATTTTCTGGGAAAACGAGGGAATATTATTAAATGATTACTTGCCAATCAACGGCCAGAATTACGCTAATTTGTTGAGTCAGGCGCGTGAGGCAGTTGTACAGAAGACATGTGGCAAGTTAGCGCGCGTTTCTTCCAGACAACGCATCCGTCCACACGGCTCGGCACATTGGGAGGGATGCCTTAAGAGCAACTTGATATACAGGAATTGACCATCCAAATCTGGCTTCCAGTGACTTTTATTTTCTTCAAATATTTTCAGACGAAAATGAGATGAAAATAGCCGTGGGAATCCATTTTGAAGAGAAATCTAAAGAATATTTTTTCGTTAGTATAAAGGCATTGTATTCGCGGTGTGAAAAGCGTATTTCACTTGAGCGAGATTATTCTGAAAAATAAAAAAACACAAAACTATACAAATGGTTTCATTAAGTACTTTAGGCCACGAACTTATCAGCCGTCGCTCGTAGATACAGACTTTTACAGCATTTTTCCCGTTCGGTATTATTTTGAATAAATGTAAAATAATGATGCTCCCGCTTTGAAGGCATTCAATGGCGTACATGCCGGTGGAAAGACGAGAATTCATTGGTTGGATCTGGCAAAGTGCGACCTTCACTTCACTTGGTATTTCCAACTGGCGTCAAACAGCGAAGCGAAGCAACGAATGGGCGCTGTTGTTGATTCGGCTATATTCGCGTAAGCGGTGCTTACGCCAATAAATAAGAACATAAATTTGGTATTAATAAAGTGTTGATAGGCCCCGTCATCACTTGTTTCATCAAATTGAATTTTTTCAAGAAAATTAAATTCTATTGAAAGCTCGGCTTTAATAATATTTTCCATATTAGCGCTGAAAGTATTCTAAGCAATTAAACTAACACTTTAATCGCTTTCCATTCATTTCTATTAATCATCATTATTTAGTTTAATAAAAATATTTAAAACAAGTCTTAATACAAATATATAATACTACTGGCTTACGGGCATATATATTGTATGTATATACATATGTATATGAACGTGTACTCTATATATTAATAAAACTGAAATTACTCAATAAAATAGCAGCTAAAGATCAATCATCACAATAATTACAACACCTCTACAAATGTTTATCGCTTCAATATATTTATTTATGTAATATACTATTATCGATACACATTCACACAGGCAATATTTATTTGTTTATTAGAATGCTGTGAATAATGATTTGTATGCCAATTGTGCAACTTTATATTTACATCCATCTGTTGTCTGAATTCTACTGCATTAAGCCGGCAACAGCTGTTATCGTTTCATACAATCAATATTAATTATTTAATTTATTATATTATGTGAATGTATTATATGTAGGTAATTATATATGAATGATTAATGCGAACTTGTTAGGTGATCGTGAAAGGCGCTTAAAATATCAACTGCTTAATAATATGATTAAAATATAAATACAGTGCAAATACTTTTATTCTTTTTTCCCCATTACTGCACTAAGCTCGGCCTAAAGTACTATTTAAATAAGAAATATTAAAAAAAGCGCGTTACTTAGTTTGTGTGTGTATGTAAAACGTTCATTTCTTTAATGTCTATTTATAATGTCTAATGGCAGGTGCACTTAATTTGTGCCCAGATGCTGGAAAGTAAATTTTAATAAAGAGAAAATAAATAATAACATTGACCAGACGAATGAACGCACCAAGTGCTAATTGGGCTGTGGGTGTGATGGTTGGTGGTCCTCTATTTTAGTTCTTAATGAGTTATTAGATTCATAAAAATAACCCAGACAGAGACAAACTCGTAATATAGATTAAAAACTATTTAAGAGTTATAGTGAAAACTAGAGTTTACCTGCGGCTTCGTCAGCATGACCTTTTTGACTTTTATTTATTTTATTATATATTATATATATTATATTCAATATTATTAAAGTACGATCAGTTGACCAGAGAAAAAAATTAAAAATAATTTTTGTATTTCTTCGCAATCTTTGCCTTTCAAGCTTTTCAAGTTCAGCATAAACCGCATTGATTATCTCCTTGTTGCTATTAAAGACCTATCCTTTTAAATTCTTTTCATTTACATAATAAGCAACCAGAAATCGTAAGGTGCTATTTCTGGGGAATGTGGTGTTGGCCGTATTACTTCGATCCCACAGAGAACGCAATCAAATTACTCGTTATTACAGCAAAGTGGGATGGCGCGTTGTTATAATGTGAAAAGTAGGCGAGGCAAATGCGCTTTCTTCCTGTTTTGCAACTAATTTTTGAAAACTTTTGCTAAGCACTTTTCGGTGTACCATTTTGAAGTTACCGTCTGACTTTTTTCCGGTGTAAAAGTAGCCACGATTTTGGATCGGATGAAGTAAACTGCCATCATTACTTTTGCCGCTGATTCATGTTGCATAGATTTTACGAGTGGGCTTGCTCCTGTTGGGCTCCGTACCATGGACTGCTGTTTGTTTCGAGAATATTTTTGTGCCTTATTTAAAACTCATGGTACCCATCGAGCAGATTTCTATGTGTATCCCACGTGCCTAAAGACAATCCTCAACCAATTCGCGTTACATGGAGGCCATCACAGGGGCATGGGTTCAATGACAATTTGTCTGTTTTTCAGTTATCTGGGAGCTTTTCTCTTCAGGGAAGAGGATAAAGTTTCAGATTTGGTATTCATTGTCTTCTAAAGCTTCGCGAGAAGCTTTTACGTCCTACAGGACAATTACTTTACTTTACCTCAATTAAACTGGACCTCCTAGCGCAAAAAAAAGAACAAACCGGCCTTTGAGTCGTAGAAGACAAGCCGAATTACAATCCTTTAGAGATTAATATTCGATGAAATATATTTCTAAAATATATTTGTACTTCTGCGTTTGGATATCTGATGCTTTGGATGTGATCATGAATTAAACGCCACAACAACTCGCAGGCATAACTCACATTAATTAGCCGTTGAAGGTGGAGTTATTCGTATGACTCGTGTCCAACGAAGCGTGAACATTTTTTTAATAAAAAACTGTTTTTTTTTTGTATAAAACTTATTTATAAATAATCAAGTTTTTGTACATTCTTAAGGGATTTTTCAGAAATTATTCAATTTTCCTGAATTCTGTGTTCAAAATGACTAAAGTAATAATAGCACAATATGTTTGAAGGAAATAGTTGGCTGGATTTCGAAACCCGTGCTCCGATTTTTTTCTTTTTATTAATCTTTTACTTATTTAAAATTTATCTACAATTATTTTTTTAATATCCTACTTAATTGGGATGTTATGTTATGTAATTTTATACCTTTATTTTGTCCCTAAACTAAGCTAAGATTTGACACAACGTCGAACGTTCTACGTTCTACGTTTTTCTACGAAATAAGTTAGTTACAAAGTGAACTCCTTGGCGTAAACATAGAATGCAAAATTAATTAAAAAAAATTAAATTAATTACTTTTTATGGATGAGGAGGATTTATTATTTATTTACGTATATTTATTTCCCTTGCCTTAACCTTAGTACTAATTTAATTGAATTTAATTTATTTTATTTATTTATTTAATTAAATTTTGAATTATTTTAACAATTTTTACTTTATTTAATGCTATTTTATTTTTTTTTTTTTTATTATTTAATTAATTTCTTCTTGCAAATTGTTGTTGTTGTTACGTACCGTGCAACTATGGTGAATACAATTGCTCAAGTGGTGGGTAAGCTTTTTTTTAAAAAGCTCTTAGCTCAGACCAACACCAGAATGTGAAGAAGGACGTTAACCCTCCGTTAGATGGCGCTAAACAGTTTTAAGTTCATACTTCCGTTAAATTTTGTAAAATAACCGTTCTATGGTCATATGCAGACTTGAAAAACAAGAAATAAATTTGGGAAGAATAAAGAAGAATAAATAAATTATTATTAATTTTTTTTAATAAAAAAGCTCATATTACGTATGTATTAACTGTAACAAAATATCGATTAAACTATCATAAGCTATTTATTATTAGATAAAGAAAAATTTCTGATTTTTATTTTCAAAATCACAAGAAATTTTTGAAGTTAGTTAACTAAGTACTTTTGGCATTTAAGGAAGGGCACTCGGTTCCATTTCCACGGTGATTTAATGATTTTAGCAACATTTTGTCCGCCCTTTCGGTTCAATGGAACAGCGGTTGTTGTATTTATCAGTCCTTCGGCAGATTACTGTCACTCTTCCCCCGACTGTAGGGTCTTGAGCTGCCAAGCATGCGCTCCAGAAGGCTCTGCTTCGATTTACGCTTCGATGCCAACACCTCCTTGCAAAGTTCATGGAATACCTCGGCCACCTGATCGACATGGTCCGCCGCTGACACCTCATTGAATTTACATTCAAAGTCTTTGGCTAAGATTTCACCTTCATCACGACTCACTTGACGCAAATGCACCATATCCACTTTATTGGCCACCAACTGGACGGGTGTGTCGGTTTGTAGATCTGATTTGGCACGTCGTATATAATTGAAGGAGCTACGGTCCGTGATGGAGTAAACGAGTAGTAGGCCATCGGCCCATTGTATTAATTCCGCGGCATTGGGAAACTCATCATTAGCCTGTGTACGGTTTGGGTAGTTTGTGGTTGGTGCGAGTGCCGAGTGCCGAGTTACCAGCGAGACGCAAATAAACGCATTTTCAATGACAAATTACATCAGCGCAGCGTTTTTTTATTTGGTTTGTGTTGCATTTGTTGTTTGTGTAGTATTGAGAGATGACATCAGCCAGCCGACATGGCGAGGAAGAGAAAAAAAATGGAAATAAAAATAAAAATGTGTTATGAATAAGTAAAATACGAGCGTAGAAGATGGTGAGTATGGTGGGTATGAATGGTGTGGATATTGTGACACTGACACAGACTAAGTGACTGATTGGCGCACCTCTTTGTTGTCGGGGAGATGTGTGAGAAGAGAGAATAAAGTTATTATTTTAACACAGTAGCGCTGACACACATACGAGTATGCAAAAGTACATATGTGTAACCAAGAGTGTGTGTGGTGAGTGCATTTCAATACTTTCGCAAAGAAACTTTTTTCACGTGTGCTGATTCATATATATGCATATAAATATATCCGTCTGTGTACACAGTTTAATCAACATGCAACAGGAGTGATTTTTACTCAACACACATACACACACACATACGTGTGCCAGAAAGTGAGTCAGTGCTTGAGCATGCGACGAATGTCCTTGCCACACTTGCCGGCCTTGTTCAGGCGGCAGTCAGTCTATATATAATACATATATACATATATAAGTATATACATTTGTGCATTGAGTACGCACTGACAGGATAATTCACTTACCTTGGGGCATGTGTCTAGTAATTCGAATAGCACCGGTTCTCCATCCACCGTCGCTTCGTGTTTGTATCGATTTTCTGGAATATATATACATAAGTATAAGGAAAGAAAATATACGAAACCTTTGGCAAATTTATTCTATAAATTTTTATGTACAAACATATGTAAGTTTATATACGCGTGTGACACATTTAACACTAATGTATTTTAGATTTTCGTATTTTAAAGTGTGAGAGGAGGGGTGAGGTAAAAATAAGTAAAAGTGATATTTGAGAAATATACATATGTATGCATGTAGGTTAGTTGCAGCTTAAAGAAAGAAGCAACAATTGGTTTTCAATTCTTATGCATATATTCCAGTAGTAAGCCTATGTGAATGTGAATAAAAATGGGCACAGTTGAAGTAATCACGGCTATGGGATTAATATGGTCCAGTTACTTGTCACTCTTTGTTAAGTCTGTTTAGAAAAATCCTGATACCAGGAGTTTAGGTCTGGCCGACGAGTTGAGTTAATATTTGCTTGGAGTGCATTTACTTTGAAAAAAAAAAAAAAACTACAGCTTTTGATCCTAAACCAGGCAGTCATTATAGGAAATATTCATGATTCAATTTAAGTACAGCTCAATTAAGGAACAGCTTGCTCACTTACTCTTGACACGAGCCCTGGATTTTTGAATGTCTATTACTCAGTAGCAGTACGCAATGCTGATCACTCGGCTCTTTTATTGTAACTCGAAAAGAAATGACGATTTAAAGAAAGCTTCAAGACCGGATCAAACTCTTGTAGATTCCAGAGAGGTGCCCCCCAGGAGTGTATAGATTTTATTAAGTAAGCACTTGTCCAATCTGGATAGCAGTGAAAATGGAACATCGGGAGATGTGGCCAATTACAGTGGGACAAGTCTTCCAAATGTCGTATATACCTAAGGTCCTATCATGTGTACTGTGTGAAAGAGTACAGCCCACCATCAACAAACTGAATGGGCATTGTATGGTTTTAAACCTGCTAACCATTGACCAGATATTCGCCACGCATTAAATCTTGAAAAAAAAACGCAAAAGAAGAATCGATGCACATCACTTTTTCCTAAGCTGAGCAACACTAAAAACTCTGCCAGCATAGGGATGGACCTTTCTATCCATTCGATACCAAGCGAAGTACCTAACAGGGTGACTACTCATCGTGTGATTTTTTTAACTGAGCTGCAGAGCCGAATAGAGAAGGAACAATCTGCAATAAGAGTGTACAGCTGCTGGCGTACCCCGATGTTATTGACATTATTTAGCTCAACAACGCCGCCGTGAGTTTTGCTTTCTCTAGACTGGAAAAGGAAGCGAAGGAAGGGCACTGTAGTGAACGAGGAAAAGACGAAATATCGCCTGTCATCAAACAAAAAGTCATCGCATTAGTGACTCGTTGATTTCGTCTCCACGAAGTCGTGTCAAGAACTTCGTTAAAGCACTAGAGGACCGACTTTTCACTGATTAATCAAGTAGCTTACCTAGTTATATATATACAATATTGTGATTTGTAACCGTTGAAGGGATTTTCCGCCGAGCTCCTCCTCCAATGTGTGGTTTTGCGTCTTGATATTTTTTCAAAAAAATGGAGGGACCTACAGTTTATATTAAGCCGCCTACAAGCTGATGGTTTTTTTTTAGAAGAAGCTTTATATCATGTCAGAAATACACTTGGAATGGTTGGCATTCCCTACCGAGGGGTGATCACAATTAGAAAATTTAGCTTAATTTTTTTGTTTAAATTAATTTTCTATTACTTTTGGATGTTGGTCGCACGGGAATTTCAATCTGAGGCTTCCGAATGGCAGTACGCAATGCCAACCACTTGGCTACCGCGGCCGCCAAACCAAATTCCATATGCAAATATCGAAGATGGAATATTATAAAAATAACTCTTAACGTCAGCGTGAGCATCTTTTCAAAGTCTTCCTCACCACTTTCATGATTGTCACAAATCTCGGAATTTTAAGCAAATTATTTGGAAAACCGCTAGAAAGTTATCGATGGATTGGAACTAGTATATTTCTAAAACTGCATTTTCTTCACTCTAATCTCGATATATTACCCCCTAAAAAATAGGATCCAGCAAACATCGAAAGATGATATCAAGAATTTTCCCTTGAAGCCATAATGGGCGACTACTGTTGAACTTTAATATATGAAACAGATTCCAAGCAATACAAAATGCTCAATTTCACCTCTCTTCGAAACTAAATTCTTACTTTTAAATTATCAAAACGAACATTGACTATATACGAAACTGGAATCCATCTTAAAAATGGAATGTATAATCGGATATAGCATCTAGGCAACCAGCTTACATATCCAGATTTAGCTTATCAAATACTGTTTGTATACACTTAAATGCATTGCATACCAAATTTCGTCTTCCAGAAGCTTTCTGGACGGATTTTCATGCTTTTTTTGCCTGAGTTTTGACCAAGGCCTCTTATCAGAAAAATCGATGTACGGGAGCTATGTGTTATAGTCGCCCGATTTCGATAAGGTTAATATGCCAATCCATGTACATGACAGCTAAAAAAAAAAAAATTTTTATAGCATTAAATTTCCTATAGAATGGATAAATTCTGGTCAAGTAGTAGTTTCGGAAAAATATTCGAGAATTATAAAGAAATTGTTATCTTAGTTTGCTTAGAAACGAGTTAATATTAATATTTAAAACTGAAATTTAGGAGGAAAGTCACTGGTTAGAGTTAGGCCCAGGTGATCATCTAAAAAGTGATTTCAAAATGCGGTAAATTTTTTATTTAACGTTTGAAAAAAGCTTCTAATCCATTTTATTCGCATAATCACTAAGATTCACACTCGAATTGACGGCAAAGCTCCGAGAAAAATCTTTAAACCCTCAATTGGTGGCTTCTTAATTTTTTTTTTATATAAAAAAGAAATAAAATTCAAAAATTACATTCAATTTTATTATAAAAAAATTATACTCCATCAAGGAATCTAGCATATGGCGTGCCATTTTCAAATGCATTTATTTTATACTACGTAAAATAGTAATGCATATGTATGTATATATGCATATGTATGCATGTATGCAGTCATGTGTTTGTTTCAGTCAAGTATGTCTCTCTGGAATTCATTTATAGTTCTTTTGTAATTTATTTGCAATAATTGAATTTTTACAGCATTTTGTACATACTAATGAGTGCTCAGGATATCACAGTGTGTAAATTAAATTCAATTTTTCTCTCGATGAATCACAAAGATAGCGATTTCCAGCACAGAAAACAGCGAAATAAAAATGAAAATTGTGAAATATTTGTGATTTTATGTTTTGAATTTTAACAACTGAAATGTTTTGTACATAAACTACGCCATTTAAATGATTTATTTATATTTTGATTTATACACGTGCGTATGTGTATAATTTTTGAATTTTGGAGAGCTTCAATAAATCCACACTGCAACAGACTTTATAGCACAAGATGTGCAATATATTAATCATATTGAAAAGTATTTGCAGTGGAAAGTATGGAGATTTTTTCGACAAAAAAAAAAAAATTAAAAATTTATAAATTTTTTCAACTATTTTTCTTGTTGAACGCAATTATCTAAGTTTTTATACAGCATTTCGCACTCTCAATCGTAATTTGCACTCCAAATAAATGCGCGAATTACACCGAATCACCGTGCGAATTACGATCAAATCGTTGCCTCCGAATCGAAATTTTATCGAAATCAGCTGAAAAATCAAAAAAATAAAAATAAATGAAAACCATTAAACCACAAATATTTATTTGAAACCAAACACTATTTTTATATTAAAAAAGAAAAAAAAAAATGGAAATTATTAAAGAAACTATAATGTTCAGGCGGATATTAAACTTGTTGAAATTTTAGGCAGACAAAAATAATATAATTTTCATTGAAGGTGTAGATTTAATGATTTTTTTTGGACAGATTCCACATTAATTTCTACCAAAAACTTTCATTTTCCTTGTGTTTTCAAATGGAATGAGGTAATTCGCATTCGTAATTGAGAGGACGAACAATGTAATTCACAATGCCGTGGAAACGCCGCGTTAGACACTCCATCTCGAAGTTGTAGCTAGTGGTTACCAACTATTTTAATGTAAAAAAAGTAAAAGAATTGTTCAGGACCTAATAAAATTTGGGTTCGCCATATAATCGAAATAAAATTCAATATATTAGTTATCGAATTTCATTGAAATAAAAGCGTCTTATGTTGCAGACCTTTTCGGTGTGGCATTCCAGCCAAATAGTATTGGGGTACAAATTAGTTTGTTGCTTTCTTTTGTGTTCAAATAATTGTTTTTTTTTTTTGTTGAAAAAAGTGAAATACATCATTCAAAGTATTGTTCGTCTACTTTTTTCCATCGCATCGCTCCATTTCTAAAAAATGTGCCCTCTATCCCCGAAGCAATGATTGAGCCTGAGCCGTGATCGGTAGACAAAGCCAGAAGTCGGAAGGTGCAATTTCTGGAGAATACGGCGGGAGGAGTGAATGCTCCCAAGGCTGTTTCAGCGTTTCAAGGATGCTTTTGACCGTAACAGCCACGTATGACCGAGCGTTATCCTGTTGAAAAAGGTATTTTCGGTCGTTTCTGGCTGTTATTCACAGAATGCTCGGCTCAAACACATTTATTATAGTCGAAAGCATCAATAGTTTTAGCTGGTTGGCGTGGATTTTGATTGTCTTCAAAGACGAAGACTCTTTGTCTTCGACGCTGGAATAAAAACCGCGAAACCACTCTCTGCATGACTTATTGGTCGGCGCAGACTCGTTACTAAATTGCAACATTTCAAAATACACTGTTTCTTGTGGAACATTTGTGCATTTCTTCATGCTGACAACCGCATCTCGGGGACCCACGAAGTCGATCAACCTCAACTTATTTGAGGATGTTCCATCGTGGAGGCTAAATTTCTGGACAGTTGTGCCGACCCTGTCAATGTGTGTGTGCGACATGAGTTAAAGAGAAAAAAATCTCATGTACCAATTTTCCATCTGCGAATCTCTGTCGACCTAACCCATTTCTGAAGTGATTCACTCGGATTGACGGCCAAGAAAGTTTTTTGTGTCTTTGGTGGGTTTGGCAGTGAATCAGCCACTACGAGCTACTCCCTTGGGCTTAAATTCTTAATTTGGACACTTACTGTCAGTAATTGGACCGCCCAGAAGCGCCGAGTTTTGAGTAACAGGAGGGGAATTGTATTTCATTAGGACAACGTTAGACTACACGATTGTAATTTGCTAGGAGCTCCACGAGGTTGGTTGGGAGGTTTTAGTGCATCCATCTTATAGTTCGGCTTCGCATCAATTAATTACCCTCTATTGCTGTCTACGACGAATGAGTTGGTAATATATATCGACGGTTCCAGTATAAAATTCTTGAAACGATATCCTGCGAAGCATCGTACATGCATAGCGAAAATATTCATAAGGAAGTAAGCACACAGGCTCCATCAAAGAAGAGTAAATAACAAAACTGTTAAATCAGCCAGACCCTTTGGTAAACAACTTGTTCTCCACAACAAGACAAACCTATCTGAAGACAAGAGACCAATTTGCCTTCTGAAAAGCAACATTGAGCCAGCAAACCGTTCCGGCTTATGAGGTGATAGTTCATATTCTGAGCAGATGCGGCAAATAATAATTATAAATAATAAACATTAAGAGGTGATAATTTTATTTATTTGAAAATTAAGTTAATAATTAAGCTCTTACCTGTTTGATGATCATATTCGCCGATATAACGTTTGGTGAGGAAACGCACAATTAAAGCTGAAACGGAAGTGAGATAGCAGTAAGATGTTTACAGCCAATTAATTAGCGTAAATTACAATATGCTAAAAGATATATAATTAAAACATTGACATGACATAGGCCCGTGTGCACTCATCAACCAACTTAAAACGAAATACATACATACATACATAGAGAAGTTTAATGCAAATTAAATGAGCAATAAAACGCGCAAACGCCTACAAAAGTGTCTCTGTAAAAAGCATTCCATTCATTTGCTCACGCTTCTTCACCTGCCGGTGGGCGCAAAAATAACCACCGAAGAGAAGAATACGCTTCTAGAGGAAAGCTTGATACTTGATGGAAGCGACAAATTCAGGTCAATGAATGTGAAAATATGAGTGAAAGTGAAATACGAGAAAGACCAAACGTCCGTAACTACAGCCGAAATGTGAATTTTAGCTGTTGACTTCATTATAAATAAATAATTGTATCCCTTTCATGCATTCAGTGTAAAGGAGCAAAGAAACTGTCAAACAAAAAAAAAACAAACAACTGGTTGGGAAATAAAAACAACCACCCACATAAACATCGTATAAGTAGGAGCTAAATATATCACAAAGTGTGCGTAGATTCTCTGTAGGAAAATCAAGGCCCAAAGATGATTGGAAATGTGACTGAAACTTAAACTGAAATGAGCTCTAAAAACTACGGGCTGGAGCTATAGTCCAAAAAAGATTTAAAGAAAAGCTACTAAAGAATGCCCACAAAATGTTATCACCACTGTTGTGGAGTCTCGAACTACAATGACACAAAATGCCTAGATCACACAGACGACATATTGCTAGCAACTCTAGAAAAACCTGGTAACATATTTTATGACTTAATACTGAAGGCTTAAGCCCTAACTTAAGGTTCGTGCAATAAAGTTCCACTTAAAATTAATGCATCCAGGACAGAAAAAAACACTAGGAGACCTGAAAGAAAGAACAATGCTCAGTATCTTTGTCACAAAATATTTATCTCTACGTACGGATATTTAGCGCCAGAATCATATGGAGAAATCACTGGGACTACATATTCCCAAGGCCAGATTGTTAATGGTAATGCTCAGATAGCTTTGCAGGTAGATCCAGGGGAGGTAACCCAAATATCCTGCATTGGATGAACAGCATGATAGTAAAGCAAATTGAACTGATAGAGCACTAACGTGGTGAAAAAGTTAAAACAAAGCAAAGACCAACTATCCAAACCCAAAAGTCTGGTATGAGTCTGTTTAGTAAGATGCCTGAGTCCATCGCCACAAGTAGAACTAGAAACCTTAAGAGCTCTATATCCACAACAAGGTATCATATATAATCCAGGCATCGTCTACTTTGATAAAATATTTTCCAATAAGACGTATGATTTTGATATTGAAGAAATATCATGATATTTTTTCAAATAAATGATCGGATGTTTGGAAAACAATATCAGCCAAATGTCCGCCACGGCCACGCTTATCCCTTTTATCAAATCAATCAAATCGCAAATTGGCTGTTGTATGCTCGTAATAGCTGTAGGAGTACCATCCTCGACGTTTTGACTCGACGTTGGTTTGTAGGCGTAGACCTCGACTTTCGCGTGGATCCAAAGAAAGCAGACGGAAAGTGTTAAATTACAAGATCTTTGTGGTTAATTGCGATCACCTCTTTGAGCGATAACACAGTTCGAAAACTTTTCCCTTGAAAAATTGATGGTTTCGTTTCTTGTATGCCACGCAGTGCCATCTTGTTGAAAGTAAACGTTATCCAGATCAATACCATCCTATTAATCATCTCTCGATTATGCAATCCAGTCGCCGTAACTTTTACTCGAGCCTGAGGTGGAAATGGGCCTCATCAGTCAAGATGATTTTTCGATGAAATTACTATTTATTGTTATGCATTTCAAGGACCCAATCAGCAAAGACACGCCGTTGTTGATGATCGACCGGCTTGAGTTCTTGTGTTAACTGAACTTTAAAAGGCTGAAGACCCAAAGTCTTTATGCAAAATACGGTGCAATGACGTTTGTGGAATGACCAATTTCAATAAACGACGAAATATGGACAAGCCTATGTTTTCTGTAACTTTCTGGGTTACAGCAACAATACTCTCAGTTGGCCTTGAGCCGCGTGTACGTCTTTCAGAATTGCGGTCCGACAACGTTTTTGACAACGACGAGAGACGGTTTCACCAGGTCTTCGTTGAAGCGTGTATCGTTCTATTTTTATTACAGCTTCTAAAGTGGCAACTACCCGAATAGCAGGATCTTCAAAATAACACCTCTTATCGGAGCGGATATCGCGGATCCTAGGACCGAACTATCCGCTTCAAGAGGACACCTCTTGAGCTCTTCGTTTGGTATTAGTGATGGTTGGACTTCTTCACGGGTTCATCTAGTCGCTGCGATAACAAAAACCTAAGATGAGTCGATATTTGGAGTTTTCGGGAGGAAAATTCAATATTAATTGAATAAGGACTCGGCGTCACATGATGTCTGCGATTTGCTCAGCGGTGAAAACAGAATGAACGACTGATGATTTTGTCTGTTGATTAGGCTATAATCACGTAAGTGGAGCCCACGTTAACTTGGACATTTGTGCTTCCAAAAGAGATCTTATTTTCAAACTATCCAAAGTGCATTGTTTTGGCCTTCATTTACACTTAAACAGATCAGCAGAAAAGTTTTGAGCAGATTCATGCATATCACATTCCTTATTCCTAGTTATCCCTATAGGGTACTTTAGGTTATTAATGGGTGTGTTTGTGTAAAAGTGAAAGGCTTCTACTGCTGCCAGCAGCTGCTTTTGTTCAAACAGTAAAGGCAACAACTATGACGAGGTTGTTAAACTCACAACCTAAAAAAGGACTTCCCTTTTCAATTTATGTATGTAGCGATGCCTGCAGTTAGGTGTTGCTGCTGGCGAATATGCTGCTCTACATACACGTAAATATATATATGCATACGCGTAACCCATGACTGCATGATGCGGATGTATGCGAAGTGATGGTTGTGTACTGCCAGGCAGTTGAGAAGTGTTAGTGCCGGTGAATTGCACCTTAATGTTGCGTGTTTGGCTAACACAAAGGGCGAACTTAATATATGGCAAATGACGAGGCAGAAGAAGCAGCACACAGTGCAGTACATGTGCTGTTGTTGCATATTTTAGGGCGTTTGAAGGCAAAATTCAAACTACAATGTACATACAAATGAATGTATTCTATATGCATATTTAGCAGTAAATGCTGAAACCACATTACCTACATACTCCACAGATAGTTGCATGGCAAAGTAGCATAAAAGCAACAAAATCAACTTGACAACCTGAAGTCTCGCAAGTGAAAACCAGAAAAACCGGACAATCGATATACATGTAGTACGTGTATGTGCATACATACATATGTGGCTGTTGCATAGTGCAAAGCTCTGCTTGAGGCGCACACATAAACGCACATATATATGCTCTTACGATTGGCGTGGGCAGTTACACTTCGGCAGTTCCGGCAATTGCATGGTGTTTTTTTGCTTTTATGCAAATGACATTTTGTCCACTTGATTTGAGTGCTGAAAACTCCCTGCTCATATCCTCCTCTTCGTTGCATACATGCATACATATATACGTGTATATGCTTATAGATTATGGCAACTGCCTCAGGACTTACTTGAGCGTGTGTATGTAGGTGTGTGCAGTACGTTTGCAAACGAAATTTGAATGAGGCAAACTATTTTGTGGGAAATTTCGAAAATTTGCAGTTGTGCACACAGTTGTAAGCAACACAGTAAACATTTTCATTCATTGCCTGTGTTTAGCCTAATTGCGGTATTATAGCAAAGACAAGTAAGTACAAAGGGAGGGAAAACTGCAGAATGTAAGCGAGACTTCTCAAATTTTAAATTATTTCGCTACATCAAAAGAAAATGTCACTATTTTGAGTGTGTTTTTCAACGAATTACACAATTACTGTTAGTCAATCGGGCTCAAAACTAGCCTTATGCAAGGGCACCGGGTTAACTTTTTCTACTGAGGTTAAATACCGAGGCATAATCTTAGTCGCAAAACTAATCTAGAACCGGAATACAGTTGAAACATATTATGTACTGGCTATACCAAACTCATATTATACCCCTGGGTTAGGAGTTCCAGAATTTAAACGCGGCAAGGCTGAGCGGAGACTAAAATCCAATAGTTTCCGCGACAGCCGGGTCTTTATACTGGGATTATTACCAGATTATTATCCGGTCACGGACTGTCAATCCCGCAACATTCCCAAAAAAATACTTTGGAAAATACAACAACAACAGTAGGACTTATGTTATTCTAAAGCGTCTGTGACTGTTGAACAGCAACAGACAATACTCCTTATAGGAGCAAGCTGGAAAAAATTCAACGGATCGCCTGCATACTCATTACAAGTGAGCTGCCCTTAACTCTTATGAAAGCCAGGAAAATTTGCTCAATCTTCTCCTGCCAAAACTATACGGAAATTCCGTGCGAGCTGCAACGCCATGAGACTAAATGCATTCATGGAGGAACCACATGAAATAAGCTCAAATACTAAACTCTACATCATTCCCGGAAGACGGAAGAGGAGGACTACATCAATTCCGTCTTGTGGGTCGACGGAACATGCTCAACAAAAATGCTAGAAAGGAATAAACCGGAAAATGTAGCAGTTTTCGATCATGGATCCGTAGCCATCTTCCCCGACGGTTTGGTTTACTCCAAACCTTTTGCTATGAAATTAAGTAAACGATACCACTGCCGCGTATTACAAGCATAACTAATCGCTATAATGGAAGCGGCTTCTTGGTTTCTAACGTGTTAACATAAACTCTTATAATATATTCTAACAGCCAGGCTGCCATTGAGTCTCTCCAATGCATTCAGTATTTATTCGGTGGAACATTACCTCCGCCATTGAGCAGTATCCGTGCGGTCTGTTAAAGTTTTCTCGGAAATTTTTTCTTCGATTGTCTTGCAGAGCTTGCGTCCGTAGGCGTCATTAATCTCTTGAATTTCATAAAACACAGGAGGTGGTTTGAGCATGAGGAATCTTCTTAGCAGGACATACGCAAAACATAGATAACAAAACGTGCCAAAAGGCCTAATTGGGTGCCCCGTTGAAGGTTCCGTGTTCAACTGAACTAAATGGACTTTTCAGTTCAAAATTTCTATAGCAGATATAGCTAGCGATCGGCTCTTAGATAACACAGCGTTTGACTCTTTTAGATTGTTTCTTCATCAGTATAGGGACTGCTAGTTTTTCTTCCTAGTTCCTTATCAGCGCGTATGACTTAATATGCTAGCAACAAATGAAGGAACCTACAAATTTTTCAAAAGCCGCCTCCAAATGTCTCCTTGTATTTCATTCAAAGCTCTTTAATACAAAAATTAAGTCCTTTCCACATAATTGATTAGTTGAGGCTTCCCGCCATAAAGGACGAATATTCGAGTGCGATTCCTGAACTCACGCAGATAGGTGCGGCTGCCAAACCCAAAAAAAAAAAAAAAACGACGTCAAATTGACGCAATAGAAAATTATTTATATTTCTTTGTGCCTAAGCAATTTGTGTGGGTGTTTTGATGGCGCAAACGAGGTGTTAGTGAGCGAAATATTATAATAATAATAAATAATCGAAAATTGCTCGCTAAATGTCTTTATGCACTAATTGTCAACAACGAAAAATATACAAAACTTGACATTTTAATATTCAAATTCAAATGCATGCACAATTTGGTGCACAATTATGTGCGTATGTATGAGTATCTCGTCATTTCTCGTCGTTGTTGAGGAAGCGTGCAATATTTTTTGTTGTTGAAAGAATTTACACATATTTTGAGACATAATGTCTAATTGAGTTTGCAATGACGAGACAAAGAATTTAATTGTGTTTCGATAGGAATGTCCTTAGATTTTTGATTTAAGTGGTCTCTTTTTGACTTTTCTATTCCCTTTGTTGGCTATTAATACAGTAAACTTTAAGAAGACTATAGGACATAATGTCCCTGCACTTAATTCAAGTACTCCCTGGTTGAAGTGACACTAACAGGTCCATTTTGTCGAGGTAATAAAATTTAAAGGAAAACTGAAATACAACAACAAATAAAAGCGGCACACATGTAGCTGAATGGGATAACCATTGGCTCGTGCTGTGGGCATCCCAAGTTCGAGTCCAATTCGAACAAAAGTGCCTGAAACTGATAAGGAAACGTGGTGGTTTTTTGAAATATCAGCTATAATTTATACCGTCCAAAAATATTGTTGTAATTTTTTCACTAAATAAACTTACTTTTGCATTCAAATTTACCATTCAGTAAATTCTATAATTTCATTTCTGAGTTCGCTGTCACCCAGTAAGCTTAGTTACCCTCGAAATAGGAGGTAACAAACAATCAGCTGTTTGATTTTATGTCGTTGATTTGCGAAAAACTATAAACCAATATATTATAGCCATATCTCACGTCTGAAATTTAATAAAGATGGAAAAAAAAGTGAAAAAGAGACTCTCTAGCTGCCGAGCAGCTGCTCTTTAAATTGCTATAACTCAAGAACTATTTCAGTACGCAATGCTAACCATTCGGGTATTGTGATCGCTCTAAATTACTTTGTGATAACAGCTAAGCAGCGTAACATTCTGCTTAGTTATTAACACAAAGTAATACCCTATAATATATACTAATATCCTATGTAATACCCTCTGTACCCGCCTCTAAGACGCCTTAAGAAAGCTTTGCAATACACATACGAGTATGTACCTCTAAATAATAAATTTTTAATTTTGAATATTTGATGAGTGCATAAGTTCGTGCCCGATTTCCAGTGCAAACTAAAATGGAAATTTTGTGAAGAAAGCGCTTTTATTAATCAATTATGTATTCGCCATCATGTTCGGCAATCCACTCTCAACGTTCAACCAATTCATAGAAATCGCGCGGTTTCTCGTTGAAAATGGTGTCAATGTGGCTTTTGACGTCTTCCACATTTTTTAATTTTTTTCCATTCAAATTGTTCTGCAGCGATCGAAACAAATGATATTCAGAAGGTGNTATATAATATTTCTTTGACGAGCGCCACTCTCAAACGATTCGAACAGCATCCAGCGGAATCGGGCACGAACTTATGCACTCACCCAATAAAACTTGGAAAAATAAAAAAAAATATTCAGGAAATGTGTGCTTGGAGCTGAGTAAACATATTTACATTTTAAAACGGATTACTTATTTTCTAATGCTAATAAAATTAAATAATGCGCAGAATTTAGTCTTTTTTGATTTTCTATAAAAATTATTCATACAAACTTACAGCTCAGCTGAGAGAAATTTTGCATTATACAAATATTAACGCATACATATATATATGTATACTACATACATATGCATACAATTTCGTAAATTATACATACCACTCTTGCCAACGCTCGGCGCTCCAACGACAGCAATTTTCAATTCTGTCAATGTTGATTTCTTGCGACGAATACCGCGTGTTGTCATTACCGTTAAATGAATTTATACAATACAATGCCAACGCCGAGTAGAAACCGCAAGAATAAACCACCAACGTAAAACCGCAAACGGAAATCCACAAACCAACTAAATAAATTCAATGTTTATACGAATTTTACTATCAGATACAATTTTACGCACATACACACACACATACATATATGCGAGTTTATATTTATGGCAAATCACAATCGAGCAGGTGAGCAGGCGATTGAAAATGGAAAATACAAAATGGATGGACCACAAGCAATGTTCTATCGAAAAAGAAGAAATAAATATTGCTTATAAGCATATACCGTCACTTATATATACATATGTATGTGTGTATGCAAATATGTTATGCTCGCTATTTTTTTTTTGATTTTCAAATTAATAATTATGTATGTACGTGTATGTATATATGTATTCCACAGTGCAACTAAGCATGTAGAATTGTAGCCACTTTAAGGTAGTATTTCATTGTGAAATTAAATTAAAAAAGCGAGAAACAAAAACACACAAATATGAATGAAAGCACTTGCAAAGCGAGTAGTTTAATTAACTTTATTAACAAAACACACAAATATATTTATTTATTTCCTATTTATTTTCATGGCGGCCACTTTTAGTTTGTTGCGTTTCGGTCTTAAATTTTCAATTTGTTTTTTCTTTTACCTTTTTCCAGTATTCCGGATCGATTTGGATAAACAAAATACTAAAGAATTCGTGGAAGAATGTGTTTCTGTGTGTGCTTAAATTCATAAACATTTTTGATTTACATTCATACTATTCTCTTAGTCTTGCCGCTTACGTAGAAGCTGAATTTTTTTAATTGTGTTTTTTTTATATTTTTTTTTTTTGAAATTTTTTTTAAGAGGATTTTCAGTTGTGAAGGACTTTTTAATCTATATAATGTTATATGGGAAGTTTTTACTCGCCAATGGAAGTAGAGGAACAGAGCGGCCTCCACTCAGTTGAAGAAATCACTTAGTGCCTCCAATTGACTCCCATTTGCAGAAGGGGATACGACTGGCTTAGGTGTTGCCTACGCCAAATTAAAAAGAAGAGAAAGAAGATATGTTGTTTACCACTACAAACGACCGCTGAACAAGAGTGTATAACTACTGGCGTATGCCGATGCTATTGATATCTTATAAGCCTTAATATCCGCGTTGTTAGTTCTGCTTTCTGGTAGTGAGTGACGACAAGATGAAATTACTCCTATCGACAAACAAACAGTCATAGCATTTGTTACTTGGCTCTCACATCACTGTTGACAGTCATAAGTTTGAAGTCGTCTATCTGGGAACCAGTATTAACACCACAAAATTGCCAACTGGGAAGCCAACGTAGAATCACTCTTACCAACAGGTGCTACTTTGAACTGAATAGGCAACTGAAAAGTAAAGTTCTCTCCCGATGAACGAAAACCAAACTCTACAATATCACCGTTCTCGTGATCTGCTGAGCCGGCTTTCGGAGTGTTCGAACGATTTAAGGTCTTTTGGCGGATACCGCAGACGATCAAACGATGATTTGTGCGAGTTATACGATCACATTGACATTGTTCAGGGAATGAAAAAAGCTCTGAATGGATGAAGGCACTCCAGCTTAGAAAGCATGCGATGCAGTACCCTCTGGTGGAAGCAGAGGAAGAGGAAGACATCCGCACCGTCAAAGGGATTAGGTGGAGAACCACCTGGTTTCAATCAATAAGAAAAGTTGGTAAAGATTTTGGTGCAACAATTGTGTCAAGCCATAAGTTTTTTCAATGCTTTGGGTATGAAAGCGTGGTAACAATATTAGTTCCAGAATTATTGCTTACACTTCAGTGCTTAAAGCGTCGTCATTTTACAACTGTGAATGAAAATAAAGGTGAAACACTGAGGGAACTAAAGCTAAACTAACTGATGGAGTTTGAGAATTTTTTCGGGTATTCCATGCTTGTGAAAAAAAGTACTAGATTTACGCATTTATCACGGTTAGATGAAGACCTAACTTTTTTATATATGGTACATATATTTATTTAAAAAAAAATCACAAAAATTTTTTTCATGAATGAGTTCAAGTTTTTAAATTTAACTGTTCCTTAATATTATTTTTTTATTAAATAAAAAATTTTTTATTAACCATTCCGAGAGGAATTCGTAAATTGAAAACACATTCACATTTGTGTACAGAAAAAAAAGCCAACGCGGACGAACAAAAATTTACTTTAAACACTTTTTAGCGAAAAAAATCGTTGATGTCTTTTAATGAAAATTCAATGCCAAATTATTGTTGCTTTATTTTAGCAGTGAATTTCGTGTTTTTCTTTGTTTTCCAATTATGTTGTGTTACGCTTGTTATTTCGAACGCTTGTTTGTGTTTCCCTTTCACTCAGACGTGTAATTAGATCGCTGATCTACACGGCTCGTGCCACTTTCTTGGCTGCCATTAAAATGTTTGTGTGGTGAAAACGCCTTCATCTTTATTAATTCGGCTTGAGTAGAAAACAACGCGATACATAATGGCATTTGTCGACATACATAATTTCATGCACCTGCCGAAAATATCACTCATACGCTATGTAGTGCTCTGCCAACGCGTGGCGCTTACCATATATTTATTTATTGAACTATTTTTTTATACATATCTTTCAATTAACGTTTTTCTAAAATTTTCAATTTTTTCGCCTGAAAACAGCTTGCTCCTCTTTGACATTGTCTGCTCTAACTCTGTGCGCTGCTACATTTTCCACTTTTTTCTTCCGCTGTCGATTTGTGCTACGAACTCTTACTAAATACATATATACATACACACATATAAATATACAACAGTGTCTACGAAAATATATCTGTGCATTTAGCAACGTGTTTTGTTGCTGTGGCTCTCAACCATTCGTTGTTTGCATATTTTTTTAATTTATTTTTATAATTTACAAAGTTTACCGAATATTTATTCGGTAGCAGAAAAGTTATGCATACATACATACATACATACATATAATTGTTTGTTCAAAATGTAATGTTAAAAAATAACACACGCAAATGCAGATGTAAACAAATGTTCGAAAAACATTTAATTGAAGGCGAAATTTCTATAATTTTTTTTTTTAAATTTTATTTTAATTTTAGGTCAACACTTTAAATTTATTGCAATATTTTCCTGGTAAACTTTCATCTTTTTTAAATTTTCAACAAATATTTAATTTCTTCATTTTTTATATAATTTTATATTGCTTTACTTTTAAATCAATTCAATTTTATTTTCCACTGATTTAATTTTCCTCACAACACTTCACCATGTCACCGTTTCGGCCCACACCTCACTACTGAAGCCAATAAATCGCGTCTAGCCGGTCGGCTCTCCAACATGTTTTTGATCAACGTTGTGTACTCGCTCGTTTGTTGCTGTTCACGCGATTTTTTCAAAATGTATGAAATAATTTTGTTGTTTTTCGAAACAATACATTTTGAAATGTGGTTTTAAAAATAGCTCAACTCGCTGAGAATTGGATTGAGAGAGTGCAATGCAGTGGAATTCCCATTAACCCGTGTGTGATCGTTGAACTGAGAGGAAAAGTTGAAAATAATTATGTATGTGTTTTAATAAATTTTATAAACGAGAAATAATTGTAAATAGATTTTTAAGAAAATCGCATCCCAGGCCTCCAATTGAGCCAAAACCTTTCGATTGAGGGATTTATTGCACATTTAATTCATTTGTTCACTTGGAGGCATTTCCTTTGATATTTCCGTGAAAGGCTTTGAACTGCTAAGAAGTGACTCACACAAATATACAGATATGTAGATGGAGCAGTCAATTTATAAAAATAATCCGTGCAATTAACCATAGAATTGTGTGACCAAATGCCAGAAGGTCAATTGGCCAAAGTATTTTCAAGCAAATTACTGAAGTTGTGGAGGGGCAAATGCCAACTGATAGGACCTTTGGACTTACTTCATTACCCGATAACTTCTGTATTTTAGAGAAATCCAAAGAGGAATTGATTCACGTATTCCCAAATATCTAAATCAGTTATAGGGATCATGTGTGACTGATGTGTGAGGATCTCTCAACCATACTATTCCATACAGTCCAATATTGAAAGCGGAGGCGTCACTTATAAGTCACATTTAAAATATCGTTGTGGAAGCAAATGTGATAGTGAATTATGGAACGGAATATTTAAATTTCTTCACTTCTTGATAACGAAAATAAGTTACAAAAAATATTTTTAAAGTATGAATATTATGAGAAGAAGAAGAAGTGGCATTAAGTCCTTGCAACAGGTGCAATGTCTACGGTCTACTTATTAGAACAGACGCGCTGAGGACTACCTCGAATTAGGCTCTGAAAGTCGTCCAAAAAACATGTGATGTACGAAGCAGCGCTAACAGCTAGCCGCATGAATGTTCTGGAAACTTCAGTCTTCCTATTGCGAAGGACATGACAGCATTATATCAGCTAAACGTAAGATGCGACCGAGAAACGGAAACCATCTGCCGCATTACCGCGTTAGTATGGAGATACCTCAGGTTAAGGCAATTAGACAAGACTATCGCGGGAAAATCCAGTGATTACCAATTGGCTTCCAGCTCACACGGAGGCACAAGGTAATGAAAAGGTGAATGAGCTGATGATGTTTCAGACCTTTCAACGCTTTCAAGTATTGTAAAAATCAGTGGACTATGGAGGAACACTTAAGGAACTTGGAACACTTCCACCGTAGGAGTTACCACCATTGTGGGACAGCGTGGCTACCCCCACTGGCCTTGCAGTAATTCGTTCTGCTCTGCCTGCCGGCTCAACAGATTTCTACAAAAAATACATAGTCCAATGGGGCTTAACCGTGTCGTTGAGAATGTACTGTCTTTTCTATGAGTCCCAAATGTGGCGGTGACGCCTGTTAACAAAGCCGCCGAGATTATTACGGTAAACATATGACCTTCAGTCCTCTGAACAAAAGCAAAATCGCCTCGGATGATTATAAGGTTTCAGTTCTTGGACCTATTGGACTTTATGAATCTTCAGGCCTGTATGAAAAGTTCTGCGCAATGTATACTGCATTAAAAATTTAATTACTGGGATAGTTTTCGAGCTGATATTAAAGGCGGACGAACACACTTTGGGCTACAGCAACAATACATTCCTTTGTTTGATTTTGAGACTTACCAACGCCACTTAGGAGCAGACTAGACCAGTTTCATCGAGCTCATCTAAAAGGATGTTCAGGAAACGTGGGGGAAAAAGGGGGCAAGATGAGTCGGTTTTAAGGGGCCTGCAAAGAGGTAGTTAGTGTCGGCGGGGACTCGTTGCAAGCAGTACTTACGTTAGCTATGTCGGCGTCGAGTCGTAGGAGTTTAATTTACTACAATATCCAGATCTAAGTTGTGCCAATAATACACAGGTCTCCCGAGAAAGCTTGAGCTCTTCGCCTTCTTGGTGGTAGTTTGACTACGAGAACGCCCTTCACAGGATGAGATTTAATAAAAGTATTTACGGGACCTCGATGATGTTCTGTACCTACGGTAACATCCCAACAGAGTTGTTTTGGCACAGAAAAGTATTACGCTTTTTAACTCCGGGCATATAAGATTTCCTGACACTCTCATGAAGGAGGTGCTTTGGCAGGTTTGAATCCCTTCAACTGCGTCTCTGCAGTCTCCGGCGCACAGATCGGTACAGCATAGTTTACGACCGGCCGGTTGAATGTATTGTAGGTTGCCAGCAACATTTCTTTATCTTTTCCTCAGGGGCTACCGGTTAACGCATTGAGGATTTTGTTGCGGCTCTGCAGTTTTACGGCAATTGCAGTTGTATATGGAGTGAATGAGTGCGGGCTGTGGAATGTGTTGCCCAGTAACTTTGGGTTGTTTATATTCTTAAATTTAACGCCATCAACTTTAACATCGAGTTTTTAGCCAGTACTCCTTCGTCCAGCTGGTAATGAGGGTAGTCGAGGTTTTTGCTGGTTGCAGTCTTAATTGTCTTGCAGTAATGAAGTGGGAATAGGCGACAAAATTTCCTATTCACTTTCGTACATAAGTCATCAATATCCTGGCCAGACGGTAATATCGAGCAATCAGAGAACCCTCTTCCGATGGGATAGAGAGTTTCGAAATATAAATTTTTATTCATTAATTATTATTTACCTTCATAATCCGCATGATAAAAAAATTGCTTGTTTGAGAAATTTTACAAAAATTGCTTCATAGACGGGTTAAAGCATAGTACAAGCACTCAATTCTGAATTCTCGCTAATATCTGAAATGTACTTACTCTCTCTCTCTGCCTCTCCCTGTCTCTCACGACTAGCAGCTCATGGAATTTTGCCACGAAAATGTTTATTTTAAATAGACAAACATATGAATAAAGCAATTTAGCGGTATTCTATGTACTATTGAAAATACATATGCTGCACATACATATATACATGGATAATAAAGAAGAACATAGGTTGTTAAAACACGCTAGTTTGGGTGAAACATACATACATATAAGCTTCAATGAATACGATTAAAGTGTGACGAAAAAGTGTTTGGCCATGATAAATGATCAAAGATATCATGTGGTGCACACACTTCACGCCGCATACTCACACTACCCATACTACACACATACACACATACATATGTTTGAATAAATATTTTTGTGTGGCACAATGCAAGCTGGCAGTGCGTGGAAATCTGGCGGAAAGTGTTGAGCGCATTGAATGAGCGAAAGTATTGACAGGAAATATGTGGTCGGTCGGCTGCTTGATGTGGGTGTGGGTGTGAGTGTGCGGAAGTGTGTGTGTGTGATAGAAAGTAGTTTTTTCATTGCTCCACTCAACAGTGCATTCCACTCGACACGACTACCACAAAGTTTTATTGAAAACATCTGTGCGGTTAATTACAACCTTTGGAAGCAGTGGAAGTGATTAATGTGATGCGACTTAACAGTTCAGTGCGTTACTTTTTAATAATGCACCACAGTGGGTGGGTGTTTACTTGAGGTTATGTGAATGTACATGTATGTGTGTATGCGTTTACAACTTAAATATTGCACACTGATTCTATGATTTGGGTTAAGCGCCTTGTTAATTGTATCATTTATTGGAAATCTCTGCTTTCTTCGCGTCCCTGCTGGACATGCAACTGGAAATGAGTACGAAGAATGTTAAAAAAATCATGATATTCTAATTGCGGTCGCCTCAGTTCAGCTAATGTCAAGCCCGCCGAGGGTTTTTCTGACATCAAATAAAGGTTGCTCATAAAAAATATCAGCTGTTCGGAGGCGGCATAATATAAACTGTAGTTTCCTTCATTTATGTATGATTAAAGGCTCAGCGATGTTTTCATTTTTGTCGTTTGCCACGCCAATCCTTGAATTCAAAGGGAAGTGGCTAAGAAGCCACTAAATAAAACCAATGACAAATTAGAGTTATGGATATACAGATTTGGCTTAGAAACTAAGGTTCAGTTTTAGTTTTGAGGAAAAACAGTTCATGCCCCTTACATATTGGCAACAATCTAAAACCGAGTTTGAGAAGTGTTTCAGGGATGGGAAGAAGCACTGGCTTCTTCTTCTTCTTCGCCGGCATGAGTACCGGGTCACTCGACTGCAGCCGAATCAACCATAGTCCGCCATTCGGCTCTTCTCTCCGCTGATTTGCGCCGACGCCCCGACAGAAGAGTAGGATGATGGGAAAATTTTGTTCGGCGACTTTGACGACAGGGTAGGCAAAGAAGGTAAATTTGGCACATAAATCGGGAAACAGAAAGTTAAATTTTATTTTAAGTTATTAATACTGTGAGCAAAAAGTGAAGTGAATTTTCAGTTTGAGCATCGCGCGTGTAATATTTCGGATTATTTTTTTTTAATTTTGGTAGCTTTGTTATTGACAGAGGAGTCAAGTCTAAAGATCGGAATGGCAATACTCTCCCTTTTTGACATCAAACGTCCATCTACCGACACTCATTTCCATTTATTTTTTAACTAGACATATATCATCAAACATGGAACTGACGCAAAGCCGAGCCCAAATTGTCAATTTATAATCATTTGAGGGCTTTTTGTGGGTTTGGAATGCTTTTTTTGGCCCCAGGGCATTTTCGGTTATTAATGGCTCCGGAATGTGTGAAATGATGCTCGTTTTTATCAAGCAACTGTTTAAATTCACTTCCAGAACAGTGGACGATCAATCGGTCATATTCGCTATATTAATTGGGCTAATTTGTTGGGAAAAACCAAGATGCACAAGAGCTAAACCATGCACCAACTTAATTTGAAACCACTTGAAGAACGAAGGCTGAATACACACAGAAGCTTGATGTATGAGCTCCACTTGATCGATTTTCCCTCTGCGAATCGTCACTGAATTGTAACAAAATCGAGCCATC